GGCCCAGGCTGGATTTGAACCCACCACCTTAGGTGTATGTGGCTGGCGCCTTAGCCACTTGAGCCACAGGCGCTGCCAATTTGTATGTATGTATTTATTTTTGAGACAGAGTCTCACTATGTCTTCCTCGGTGGCATCGTAGTGCACAAAAAACTCTGGGGCTTAAGCGATTCTTTTGCCTCAGTCTCCCAAGTAGCTGGGACTACAGGCGCCGGCCATGACACCCAGCTACTTTTGTTGTTGTTGTTGCAGTTGTTGTTTAGCTGGCCTGGCAGGTGTGAACCTGCCAACTTTGGTGTATGTGGCTGGCACCATAACCCCTATGCTCTGGTCACCAAGCTGGCCCTGTTTTTTTGAAGGATAGAAAAGCTACCATTTTTCTAGTTGTGGCTTACCTGCATGGCTAGTGCCAGGAGGATCCTGAGGCTCAGTATTCATAGCCTTTAGCCCTTTAACCTGCCTGCCTGCTCTCCGCTTCTCAAGAGTTCCAGTGAGTCCAGCAGAACCCTTGGAAGTAAGTTACTGTCTACAGCTACCCTGTGCAAATAGGTGGCTCTAACAGGATCTGCTTAGAGTAACAGACTTAATGATTTGAAACTTGATCCTCTTTGACAGCAAACAAAGGATGCCTTCCATTTGTCACTGTCCTTGGGATTCTCAGATTGACTGATTTGACCTTGTCTCCAAATGTTGGTTAAATGATCTAACTTCACTTCCTCAAGTGTCTCTCTCTCTCTCTCTTACACACACACACACACACACACACACACGTACATATATACCCACTGTCCTACATGAAGTTTGCCCAGGAGATTAAATAGTGTATCTTGGGCTATCTGTTGTAGGGAAGCAATGTGAATCCCTGCCCTAAGTTTTATTGCTTTTTTTTGTTTGTTTTGTTTTGTTTTTTGCAGTTTTTGGTCGGAGCGGGGTTTGAACCTGTCACCTCCAGCATATGGGGCTGGCACCCTACTCCTTTGAGCCACAGGTACCACCCAGTTTTATTGCTTTTTATAACCTATTCCCTATGAATGAGAGCAGCCTGATGTGGAAGAGGTTGAGGGACTGCAGGGATGAAATTCAGCTTCTGGTTTTGTAGAAATCTCTCTGTGCTATTACCAGTTAGCTGTGGTGGGACAGGGTCAGGGTTTGAGATCTGGCAGGTGGGTTTCCCTGGGGAACCAAGAATGTTGCTCCATCACCTACTGATGACTTATTCTGGGAAGAACCTAGGTCTAAGGCCCTCTAGACTTTTTCATTTGCTAACAGGACTCCTCAGTTCCTAGAGGTAGACTCAGTTCTCTAACTCCCACCAAGCATGGCTCTGGCTGGGGCCCTGAACTGGAACAGAGATTGAGATTGCTGCTAAATGGAATTTGGGAAATTTGGCTCTAGGAAACAAGCCTGCTATTGTGAAGGGTCTGGGCCTCTGGGATAAGGGGGCTAATAGAGTCAAACATGACCTTTAGCTCACGTGGGTATGTGCTTAAGTGTTGAAAGCAAACACTGGGCAGAGAAGCCCCCAGAGAGCGAAGGGGCCTATGAGTGAAAAGGAGGTCCCTGTGGGTGCCCAGCCATGGAGGTAGCCATTGGATGACTCACCAGCACTTCTTCCTTGGGGTCTGCCTGGGTTCTCACTCTCCCTGCTGATTCTGTCCTTTTCCTGTGCATTTTCTGGGACCTTCTGTCTTGTACAGAGAATCCCTTGCCGTTGTCTTTTGTGCATTGACTTAGAAAGTTTTTGCTAAAAGGAGCTTTAGAGATCAGTTGGCCCTACCTCTGTATTTTTCAGATGAAGAGACAGGTCCAGGGAAGGAACAATTTTGGACTGAGGTCACACACCAGGTCAGGAGCATAACCATGGACCAGGCTGGGCTTCTATCCCCTGCCCAACACTACCTCTGGTACAATTTACTATTCATTCTGCAGATGTTCAGGGCCACCTGACAATGGACTGGTGGTTGGCAGTTAGACCTGGTCACACATTCAGGGAGCTTGCTGGTTGGGGGATGCACAAATTGAGTGATCACCAGTGATCACCAAAAAGTACATCTCCAGATTGGGACCTATCTCAATTTTAGGCATGACTCCTGCCTGCTCAAACTCATCTACAGATCCCTTCAAGCCAGAGGCAGTGTCTTCTTCAGCTCCTTCCCCCAGTGCTCACTGTAATTGCACTGGGTGATTATTGCTGATGACATATGTCTTGCTGGTCCAGCCGACCGGAGAGCAGGTTTTGGTGTGTCCCTCAGCCTTGTTATCTTTTATTTTTTTTATTTTTTGAGTCTTACTATGTCACCCTTGTTAGAGTGCTGTGGCATCATAGTAACTCTTGGGCTTATGTGATTCTCTTACCTCTGCCTCCCAAGTTGCTACAGGTGCCTGCCACAACACCCAGCTATTTTTGTTGTAGTTGTCATTGTTGTTTAGCAGGCCTGGGCCAGGTTCAAACCTGCCAGCTCCAGTGTATGTGGCCAGCGCCCTAATCATCGGGCGCCAAGCCCCTCAGCCATATTATCATAAGTGCATACTTGTAGCAACATCTGAGAGCCAGAAAAAGAAACCAACCAGCTGGTCTCATGGGGTGGTCCATAGCCCTTTGTGTTTTTCTCTTCCTGGGCTTTTTTTTTTTTTTTTTTTTTGAGATACAGTCTCACTCTGTTGCCCTGGGTAGAGTGCCATGGTGACATTATAACTCAAAGCAAAGTCAAACTCCTGGGGTCAAGTAATCCTCCTGCCTCAGTAGGATTTCTATTTTTAGTATAGATGGTCTCTCTCTTGCTCAGACTGGTCTTGAACTGTCAGCTCAGGTGATCTGCCTGCCTTGGCTTCCCAGACTGCTAGTGCCACAGGCATGAGCCACTGCACCTGGCCTTTTCCTGAGCTTTGATTTATAGGTTGGTATCCAGTCAGATGAACAGGGATGGGGACAGGGACAGAAAGGCAAATCTCAGCTCCCCGGACCACCCAAACTCCCTTGTTTCCTAGGGTTCCGTCTCATGGGCATCTTTGGAACCCTTCCCCTTCTTCCACCTCCTTTGGTCAGCCAGCCTGCTCCACTGCAGAGCTCTTCTTGCTCCCCAGTCTCTCTACCAGCATGGGCTTCCTCCACACTGTCACTAGTGCCAGTACCAGCACCAGCGCCATCTTTCTAAAATTGGAACTCCTTTCTTCAGCCCTCCTTGCCATTGGCATTTTGGCATTGATCTGACTTTTAGCCTTACCTCCTGCCCTTTGCCCACCCCACGTCACCCTTCAGCCTCACTGCCAGGCCACTCCTGCCTCCCAGCCCTGCCAGTCTCCTATAGGACTTTTCCAACCTGGCAGGTAGGTTTCAACCAAGAATGTGGCTCCATTACCTACTGATGACTTGTTCTGGGAAGAAGCTTGCTGGTAGGCCCTCTAGACCTTATCATTTCCTACCAGGGCTCCTTCACAAGATTGCTCTGTCCCCCCAGGTTATGTCTTCTCTCTGCAAAACTTGCTTGTCCTTCAGGATTCTACCTGAATTTCATCATTTTTGTGACACAGTCTCACTTCCTAAGACAGTCACTCTGGGCAGCCACAGCACCCCTGTTGCAGCCCTTCCTCACAGCACTTGCCGCTCTGCATTGTGATTGGCCCGTATGGAGCAAAATTGTGTCCTCCAAGATGCTGGGACTGCTGATTGCCTCAGCAACCTCAGCATCTGACCTAGGGCCTAACAAAATTCTCAGCACATTCGGGTTAAATCATGAATGAAGGTAGTACTTCTTGTTCTGCTTTTAGATCCTAAATCCTGACAGGCTCCTGAAGATCAGAGCCACTGGACTCTACATGGAACCAAAGACCTCATGTTCAACTGATGCACTGTTGATGGAGAGAAAATTTCATATTCTTGTGGGTGTCACTGGGAGTGTCGCAGCTCTGAAGTTGCCTCTTCTGGTGTCAAGGCTTTTGGACATTCCTGGGGTGAGTATCCTCACTAGAGAGCATAGCTGCCTCTCCAGTTAGAGAGCCGCTGCCCCCAAGGTCAGCCCATTTCTCTGCAGTGCGTGATGTTTCCTTTTTCTTAGTTGTGGTGTACATGGAGGTCCTCTGTGTGTGTTGGTCTGTGGGGGATATAGGACACCAGTGCACAGTATTACAAAGAGCTAGATCAGATAGTGTGGGCAGAGCATGAGGGAAGACTGGGAAAGGATGTGTTGGTGAGTAGAGGGTTTGGGATCCCATGTGGTGACCCTGAGGTTCCAAAAGGTCATGTGTGGAGGAGGGCTGGCTGGAGAAGTGCAGCAAGTTTTCAGTCCCCTTTGCCACCTTGGGCTCCACCACCCCACTTCTCTCCATCTTGAACACTATGGCTCTTTTCTCCTTGTTAGATTCGCCTGGTTGTTCTGTCAGTCAAATGCTCTGAAACTTCAGGAGCTCCCTGTACCCACAACTCTGGTTTCAAACTTAGCTCCTCCAAATGTTCAGAGATGCCCCAAAGGCCATCACCATGTATTGGAGTTGGGGACTCTAGCCCCTTGTTCTTGGCTAGACTGCCTCAACTCAAATCAGTTTTATACATTGGTGTTGTGGTGCAGAAGTTCAAGGCTTTAATTAATTTTTTTTTTTTTTTTGAGACAGTCTTACTATGTTACCCTTGGTTGAGTGCTGTGGCATCACAGATCACAGCAACCTCCAACTCTTGGGCTTAAGTGATTCTCTTGCCTCAGCCTTCCAAGTAGCTGGGACTACAGGCGCCTGCCACAACACCTGGCTATTTTGTTGTTGTTGCGGTTGTCATTGTTGTTTAGCTGGATCGGGCTGGGTTTGAACCTGCCAGCCTTGGTGCATGTGGCCAGTGCTGTAACCACTGTGCTACAGGCACCAAGTCTTTATTTTTTGAGACAAAGTCTCACTTGGTCACTCTCAGTAAAGTGCTGTAGTGTCATAGCTCACAACAACCTCAAACTCTTGGCTTAAGTGATTCTCTTGCCTCAGCCTCCTGAGTAGCTAGGACTATAGGCACCCACCACAACATCCAGTTATTTTAGAGACAGGGTCTCGCTCTTGCTCAGGCTTGTCTCAAACCTGTGAGCTCAGGCAGTCCACCCACCTTGGCCTCCCAGAGTGCTAGGATTACAGGTGTGAGCCACCATGCCTGGCCAGTTCAAGGCTTTAAATGAGCAGTCTCCAACCTTTTTGGCACAGCGACCTATTTCTTGGAAGACAATTTTTCCACAGAAGTGGGATGGGGTGGTGGTTTCAGGATGATTCAAACATATTACATCTCCACCTTAGATCATCAAGCATTAGATTCTCATAAGGAGCTGCAACCTACACCCCTCACTGTGCAATTTACAGTAGGGTCTGTGCTCCTGTGCGAATCTAATGCTGCCATTGATCTGACAGGAAACAGAGCTCAGGTGGTGATGCCAGCAATGGAGAGCGGCTGTAAATACAGATGAAGCTTCCTTTGCTAACCAGCCGCTCACCTGCTATGCACTCAGTTCCTAATAGGCCACAGCCCAGTACTATGTGAAATCTCACAGGCAATAGTCCCACTTCCTCTTCTGGCCTCCAGGGCCCTTCGTTGGTCTGTCTCATCCCCTGCTGCCCCTGCCCTCTGCCTTGGTGGCCTTTGCTTGGCTGGGCCCTGCCAAGCTGCTCTGCCTTCTTGGCTCCTCTCTGTTTTTTCACATTCTGTACAAACCCTTCACCCAGAAGCCTTACCTGCCCTTGCCCCTGTGGTTTTGCCCCTTCTTTTAAATTCATTTGCTGTAGAACCCACAGGTTGCTTAGCCACTGCTTACGTTACCTAGGTGCTGGTTTTTGTGGGGCACCTACTGTGGGTGGCCCAGGTGACTGCCATCTGGCTTGTCAGCAGGGGGCAGTGCTTACTCACAGATGACTATGTGGGGCCCACCAGCAGGGGCTGGGAAGTGTTTCTTTTTTTTTTTTTTTTTTTTAACTTTCCACAGACTTCCACCCAGAAAGTCACCCCGCCTCATCCCACCCACAGGCTGGGATAAGTCTGTGAGACTGCTAGCCAGAGATGCCAGCCAGGCCAGGGTGGGGAGGGAGGGGAGTCATGGCTGCTATGAGATTGGACACTGTGCTTTTGGAGCAGTGTTATCTAAAACTGTCAGTAGGAACAGGCTAGTTAGAGCCATGAAGGTGGGAGGCCTGGAAGGGCTACAGCACTGAGAGTCTCTGTCACCACTCCCTGGGGAGAGAGTCGTGCAGTTTCCTTTCCCAGAGCCCCAGAGCAAGTGAGTTTCTGGACTGGGGGTGGATGGGGGCAGGGAGTCCTATCCCAGGAAACAGATGGGCAGCTTCAGAGCGGAGGGAAATGGCAACCCGACTACTTCCTCCCAGCCCACACAGCCAGTGTTTGTGGGGGTGTCAGGAAGAGGGTTGCCTGGATCAGAGCGCCTCTCCAGCCACCCCAATCTTTTTAGCGTAGGCCCTCTGAGGGGATAGGCCATGTCTGGAGCAGGACTTGGCTCTGCCTTCCTGGCAAGAGTGAAGCAGCCAGAGGGCACTGAACTCAGAGGGAAGCCTCCCCTGACTCAGCTGCTTGGAACCTGTCTTTCTCATTTTAAAATAGGGATGATTGTGCCAACAACTAGGCTCAGTGATTAGCATGCCGAAGCACTCACAGTGTGTGATTCCTGGACTTTACCTGCTCTTTTCCTTGTGTTTCATGTCCTTTGGTCCAGCCACATGGTTTGTAGGCCACAGTCTACCTACTCATGTGGGGAGTCCCATCCCTTTCATCCCACAGGTGGACAGCTCACCAAGCGTGGCTTTGCTAGGTGGGGTCCTTATGAGGTGTTGGTAAGCAAACTGTGGATAGCCTAGTGCTGTCCCCAAGTGGTGGCCTTTCTGCTTAGCACTCCCTTCACCCCTGATAGTGTTCATCTCCCTGTCCCCTGTGTCTGCATCACCCCCCAGGAGGAGTCTTGTACCTTGGAGCAGTCACTTTCAGCTCTTTGCCTTCCAAGTCATGGGGTCACATACTCAAGGCTCCCTATAGGTACACCAGACTTTGACTGGCAAATGAGCAGCTGGGTTGTGGGCTGCAGGGAGCTAGATGACTCTGCCGACCAGGCTCAACACTGCTCCTAAATGACCAGTATGTCTAGACATCATGGGAGAGCCACTGACCTGGAGGTAGCTAGACCAGAGAAACTGTGAGGGGTGATGCAGAGAGCTGGATTTCACCACAAGCCTCACATACCAGCAGTTAGGGAGAGTAGCCACCAGCAAAGAAGTCCTGGAACTTTTATGAGTGGTGGGGCGAATGAGAGGGTGGCAGCCATACCCCAGGAGAGGCAGCTGAGCATGGAGGATTTCTGAGGCTGGGATTCTGGGCAAGTCAGTGCTCTTGGGCCTTAGTTTTCTCATCTATGTAGTGAAGGAGGGGCAGGTACTTTAGTGATCCATCTTCAGGGCCTCTTCTGACACTAGTGTTAGAACATTTTAGATGTGAGGGCAAAAAGGACTGGAACTCAAAGGCAATTTGAGAGAAGGTCCTGGGGCCCAAGAGCTTCAGGGGGTTTTACAATTTCATAATTGCCCTATAATTGGGCAGCAGTTATGTTGGGTTATTAGCTCAGTCAGTTTCTTTCCTTGGGTTAGCAGAAAAATTATTTCTCTCCACCCTTCTAGTTTCCTTGGCAGGGCTATGGATTTAATTGACATATAAACAGAGCAACAGGAGAAAAAACATTTTTTTTTTTTGAGACAGCCTCGTTTTGTCATAGTTGGTAGAGTGCTGTGGCGTCATAGCTCACAGTAACCTCAAACTCTTAGGTTCAAGCGATTCTCTTGTCTCAGCCTCCCGAGTAGCTGGGACTACAAGTGCTCACCACAATGCCTGGCTATTTTTAGAGATGAGGTCTTGCTCTGGCTCAGACTGGTCTCAAATTTGTGAGCCCAGAGAAGAAACATTTTTGATTATGTACCTACACATGAGAATCCCACAAAATAAGAGACTCCATGAGAAGTCAGATGATTGGAGCCTAAATAGCATACTGACCTACAGAAGGGAATCGGGGTTTGGGTCTTCTGGGGTGATGGCCACCAAGTTATGAGAGGGTGAGGGGAAGAAATGTGAATAAAGGTTGTCCTGGCTCGGCATCTGTGGCTCAAGTGGCTAAGGGGCCAGCCTCATACACCCAAGGTGGCGGGTTCAAATCCAGCCTGGGCCTGCCAAAACAACAATGACTACTGCAACCAAAAATAGCTGGGTGTTGTGGTGGGCGCCTGTGGTCCCAGCTACTTGGGAGGCTGAGGCAGGAGACTTGCTTGAGCCCAGGACTTGGAGGTTGCTATGAGCTGTGATGCCATGGCACTCTCCCCAGGGGGACAGCTTGAGGCTCTGTCTCAAAAAATAAATAAATAAATAAATAAATAATAAAGGTTGTCCTGTTATACAAAATTATCAGGTAATAAAAGTTGTCCCAGGGGGTTGTCAATAAGTTAGTCTTCCCTGGTTGATAAGATTCCCAGGTAGGGATCCGTGACAATTGAGCTCTTCAGGTAGATAAGGGAAGTTCAGAAAAAGCCTTTCCTCCACCTACTGTCCCCCACATGCCTTTAGTTTGAAGCAGTTAGCACACCAAAGTGGCGTATGCTGGGGTGGCATTTCCTGAACTCCTTCACATTCTTTGAACTTGGGAGGAGAAGACAGGTAGCATTCTAGCTTTTGCCAGAACACGTGTCAGCATGACTAAAAGCTGGAAGGAGATTTGTAGAGGTAGCTAAAACCTCCCACCTAGGAAATTAGCAGACCTTTGGGCTAAGAGAAGGAATAGTTTCTAGAATGTACATCAGGACGTCCAGGGTTGTCAAGGGTGAGGGAGAAGGTCATATGGCATATAAAATAATGATTTTCGGAAGGACTATTTGGCAATATTTTCTTTTTTTTTTTTCCTTCTCTCTTTCTTTTTTTTGTTCTTTTTGAGACAGGACCTCAAGCT